GACTCCGGCCCCCCTCCCAGGCAGGTGCGCTTTTCCCCGATGAGGTGGGCACCGCCCCCTTCACCAACAAGGTCCTGGGTTAGGAGGGGTGGTGATGACAGCAGGGCCGGGGACAGAGGGGCCTCTGCAAACCTCACAGCCATGCCTGGACCTCCCAGGCCTCTAGCCCTCCCCAAGGAGCCTTCCTCCTGGCATCTCTCGGGTGGTCTATTCATCGAAGCCCCTTCCCCTCCACGTGTACACCTCCATGACATGCACACCTGTCCAGCCCACCATGACCTGCTTCCGAGTAGCAGAGTCAGCCCTGGCCAGGGAGACGCCCAGCCTTTGTGCTCCACTCCAAGTGGGTACAGGTCATGCACGAGAGCATCTTCATTGAGGCAAGGAGGGAGCCATCCCAAGTCTTCCGATGGGGCTGGCACACTGGCAGTCAGAGCCAGGGCCACTGTGCCCAAAGGGTCAGCTGTGTATTTAGGGCGGGGCCTGGGTTGCCCACGAGAGCAACCGCTCAGCCACGCACTTGTGCCTGTGCAGTGAGGCTCCAACAAAGCCTCTGGACACCACTCAGTGCGCTCCCGGGTTCGGCCACACCTGAATGTGGTCACACCTCGATGCCAGAAGGCACCATGTCTCTGAGCCAAAGAGCTTGAGTGTGGACCCCTGTGGTCTCTTCCTCCAATGATTTTAACCTGTGCTCTTCCCCAGAACAAGCCGTAACTGAGTCTAGGAGCTCTCTGCACATTCTGGGAGTCCCCTGGTCAATTACCAAACGGAAGGTGGTTTGGGGGACCCTGCACTCGTGGTCGGAGTCAGAAGCAAGGGCGTCTTGGGGGTGTGCCCTCGATGTGCAGTGTGGCTGACTCCAGGTGGGTGCCCTCTGGTCAACTCACCCAGGTGTGTGAAGAGAGGCCTGCGGTTGACGATGTGCACACTGGTCAGGTTGGGCGTGATCGTCAGGAATGTGACATATTCTAGGAGGAAGCAGAGCGGGGGCTGCAGGGCCTCATAGCCACCTACGTGCCAGTGAAAGGGAGCCAGCTTCAGCTGGGGCTGCTGCGGGCAGTTCTTGTCACAGGAGCAATCAGAGCCACCTGAGAAGGCCCCCACGCAGGATAAGGAACTGACCCAAGGTTCTGGAGTGCAGCAGGGGAGGCCAGCGGGAGCCGAGCTCAGGCAGGCCATGGACACTGACGTATGCAAAGGCGTCACCCTCTCTTGGGCAGATCCACGTCAAGGGCTTTCCAGGCATAACCTCTCTTGCTCCCCCCTTTTCGGGTTCTTGGGCAGGGGAAGAGGCTGGCCTGCCGGGCTGCACAGTGTCTGTGTCTGGGGCTGAGCAGCCCACACCAAGCCTCTAGCACGCTGGGTTCTGACAGGCCAGAGAGGCCCAGCTCTCCACTCCAGGGAGGCTCCTACCTCTGGCCCTCCCGGCTGTGAAAGAGCCGCTCCGTGGGCTGCAAGTGCTGTTGTCACCTCCACACACCTGGCATGCATCCCACACCTGCTGGGAGTCCATTCTGCCGTCACAGCCGAACGTCTGTGCAAGGAGGGCAGCAGGCCCGTCACCAAGTGGAGCTGGCCTGGCCCGTCACCAAGTGGAGCTGGCCTCACCAGCCACTGCCCTGCCGGCTCAGGGGTTCTGGGATTCCTAGACTGGCAACATTTCTGCAGCACCTCACACCAACACAGGAGCGAGCCCGGAGGGCTTATGTGACTTGTCCAATGTCACAGCAGTCTGTTCCCTGGGTGACTTCAAGCTGGGTATTGTGCCCCAGAGCCCTCCCTACAGGCCACATGCAGCTCCACTGGGGCCAGCGCCCACAGACCTGCCCCCAGGGCCACCCTAGGAGAGGCAGGCCTCAGAGCTCCCGTGCACGGAAGGGCACCCGCGCCATCCACGCACACCTACCCTACATCTGCCCGACACGCACAGGCTCAGGGTCCCGGCCTCCTGAGGGCTGCTGGGCACACAGCGGGTGCCATCCAGGAAGCTGTCTCCACGCCGCACGATGAAGCTCTCACCAATGGCCCGGCACACGTACCTGCACAGAGCGTCCCCTGGGAAGGTGAGGTGGACAGGGGACCCCAGTGTGAGGAACTGGGCTAGGAAGCCCCCCAGATCCCTGCCGATGCAAGTGGCCCTCCATCCTGCCAGCTCCACCTAGCTCCGTGTCTCCGCCCCCGCCTCCTCCTGTCTGCTGAGACGTCACCATGACCTGGGAACTAGGTGACTGTGTAAGGAGGGAGGAGCACGCTGACACTCCAGGACCTGGAAACCAGCTGACTGTACACAGGATGGAGGAGCACGCTGACACTCCGGGACCTGGGAACCAGCTGACTGTACACAGGAGGGAGGAGCACGCTGACACTCCGGGACCTGGGAAACAGCG